TTACAGAAGTAAGTGAGCTCCGTGCTACTGCTACCTTTCCTTTGAGCAAAGATGGAAGACGTGGGATGGAGGTGTGGCTCAAGTGATAGAGTGCCTGCTTTGAAGCAGGAAGCCCTGAGTTCAAACCCCAGACTTCCCAAAAAATAAGATGGAAAATGTGGCAAAGAAGAATGTTGAAATCTAGATCGAGAATTTTATTTTGTCTACTAATTTCATTCTGTGAACATTTAAAATAAACTATCAACTCTGTTTGGATATAATAAAATTATTACTTGATATAATTAGTCAAATTAAAAATTGATAACATAAGGTTGTATACTTACCAGATTTCTTTGTTCTGTTAAAAAAGATTTACTTTCTTTCACTCTTCCAGATTCAAATTAAGTCCCCACTGCATTCTTCTTATCTTCTCTTCTTTTTTTTATCCCTCATTTCCTTATTCCCAACTCATTCATTTACTCAAAAACTATTTTCAGTTCCTGATCTAGGTAGTTAGAGATTCAACAATGATTAAAACAAACAATAATTACCCTAAGGAGCATTATATTCTAGTTGTGGAAGAGTAGACAAGAAATGAGATAAAATTGAGAATGTTAGATTAATGAGTGCTAAGAAGAAAAAACATCAAGTAAGGAAAGGGATAGAAAAGTGTTTGGAGTTGAAGGTTTTGGAAGGATGGCCCCAAGAAGTTAGTATTTGAACAGACTTAAAGGAGCTAAGAGAGAAAAATCATACCGCTATTTGGGGAAATAACATTTCGAAAAGAGGAAACACAAACAAGTAAGAATATGCTTGGCATCTGCAAGCACGGTGAAGAGACCAGTGTCACTGAGAAGAATGTTATGATGGGGAAATGCGTTCAGAGCTAAATGTGTAGGTCAGGAGAGACCAGCTCAATATATTTGTCTTTCAGTCTTTTTATCGCCTGACCTAGGTTATCATTGGATCACACTGATTACTATGCTTAAAATATGATGAAAACAGGGAGTAGAAGCAGGGGAAAGCAAATTGGAGGATGTACTAACACAGGGAGAGGTAATCATGCTTCCAGCTTGTTGTTAACAGTGGGAGTGGTGAGAAAATGTGAGATACTTTGAGGTTGGGACAGGATTTGGTGCTAGTTCATGAATGGATTATGAAAGCAAGAGCAGAATTAGTGATGACGTTAATATGTAATTAGACATCAGTTTTGGTCTGAATGACTGAGATAGAAAAATCTGTGAGAGGAGCTGAAATTTTGTCAAAGGGTAGAAACCAAGAAATTTGCTAGGGTCACTTTATACTTCCAATACCTACTAGGCGTCCAAGTGCAGATGTCATCTAGATGTTTGAATTTATGAGTCTGGAGTTCATAGAAATACTATGAGCTAGACTTGGAAGTTAGCCAAGCATTGATGGCAAAAGTCATGAGGATTGGGTGCAATCATTTAAGGAAGTTTAAATTAAAAAAAGAGCTCCAAGGTCTGAACTCCAATGTTTGGAGGCCAGAGAGGTATAGAGGAGACTGAGAAACAGTAGCCAGTGAAGTAAGAGAGAACCAGGCCCTCTCAATGACCAGGACAACAAACAAAGAAGGAACTTAAAAGGTAAAAAAAAGATAACATTTGTCAGAGACTATTAATGCAAATAGAGGACAGGGTTGGAACTGATGTCAAATTTTACAATTTGGAAGTCATTGTTTATCTTACGAGAGCCATTCTATGAAGTAGTAAGGGAAAAAAGCCTGATTGAAAGGGATTTGAGAATGGGAGAGGAGAACTCAGATAAGTACACATGACTCTTTGAAGGGATTTTTCTAAAAAGGAAAGAAGAGACACAGAACAGTAGGTACAGATGAAGAGGGGAGGGAGGGAGCTTTTGTTTACTTGGTTGGTTGGCTATGTAGATAACAGAAAGCAGCCTATTTGTTGATAGGAATGATTCAGTAGAGAGGGAAATGTAGATGCAACAAAGAGAAGAGAATTACTGAAATAAGGCTCTGAAGTAAGGAAGAAGCCAGGATCCAGCATGCCAACGGAAGTGTAATAAAGACAGGAGCACAGACCAGTCAACTAAAACAATGAAAACAGGAAAGCAGAGAGTATACCATCCCAGATTCGGGAGTACAGGTCAAAGTGAAGATGAGAGCCTATGTAGACCTTCTTCTGAGGTTGCTTCATCCTTTGTCAGTGTAATGGAAAGCCAGGTAATTATCTGAAAGCAAGGATTATAGAGACAGTGTTGAATATTCTAAGACTCAAAGAAAAGGACTATATTATCTAAGGAGTGGGAGAGGAGTGAATTAGAGATATGTGACCATTACAGAACAGCATTATGGGCCACTTGAGGGCTGTAAGCATGAATTTGAAGTGAAATATGTCTATGGGGTTACATGTCTAGTTCCTGCTATGTTCAGTTGTAGGAGAAAAAGAATGAGTGGGTAGAGAATTGGACTTAACTAAAGCTGTTGTTTAGCAAAGAAATTACAATGAAACACAGGGGACAGAAGAGAGCTAAGGTTGTTTACAAGGGAGTTATTATAATGGCTAACCAGGAAATTTATGCTTGACAGGATGAGTGGTGAAGAATAAAGGAAATGAGAGGGAATAGAAAGATGGTAAATGGATTACATTGGAAGGGGTAGAAGAATTATTGGAGTTAAGGGGAAGAACAATGGAAATATAGAGCCTGAGTGAAATATTTGGAATTGGGATTTAGAATTGGTGATAGTTATTAATAAGGAAAAGATTAGGAACATAGCCTCACAACTGAAAAGTCCACAGAGGATGGAACCTTGAGTACTGAAAGACCATGATTGGAGAGCTTTAGCTACCCTAGATTTCTGGCAGAGAGAAGGGCAATGTTTCCCTAATTCCAATTAATTTGACATCTAAATCCTTGACTGATATTTGAAGCTTCATTTTTTTATGCTAAGGTGCAACATACTACAGTACTTATGAAAAAGAATTTTGGATCAAAAATAAGTAAGTCTGATGAGTTAATAGGTGTGGGTATGGTGGTACTACAAAAGGCAAAGATGCTTACTGACTAAGTCTTGGGGAGGTCAGGCAAAGAATATATATCTCAAATTAAAATCGCTTCCCAACTGTCTGTGCTGATTCTTGAAATGTCTTCATTGAGAATCATGGAATTCAAGCCTGACTGAGGCTTTAAGAAAAAAGGCAGCATGATGCAGTGAAAAGTGCAAGGTTTGCAGCCTACCAGTCTGTGTATAAATCCTGTCCTGGAGCCATACTAGCTGGTCTCTCAGTTGATTTGCTCTTATTACCTAGCCTCAAACATCACAGTAAAGGCAAGGATCTGTGGAATGCAGGTGCATGTGCCATTTTCTTGTTTCTGCATAGAGCTAGTGTGGAAATAGTCACCCAATTGACTTAGAATCCAAAGAGCAACTTACGACATGATACATAAAGTTTGAGAGAGTGTACCCTAGGCGGGTGGTCTGTGTGGACTCTGGCAAAGCATGACACATGAATATGTTCCCCAGACTTTGAACCATATAAATATCCTAGATTTTTCCATATGAAGGATCCTGATTTGTTGATGGGTGTCCCCTTATGTCCAACCCTATGCATAATAAAGCATCAGACCCACAAAAAAGGACACATATGAGAATCATGGATAGCTATGGGTTAAAGTCCCACTCCAACACTCATCATATTTCCTGTTGAGGTAGGAACTCCCTATCTTGAAAATATTTGTAAATAAAGACCATGTACTGGAAATGCTGGGAGATAATCACCTTTAAGTTTCATTCCACTTATAGTTCTAAAGCTCCGTGAAACTGCACAATAATTGGACAGAAAAGAATCTGGGAAAAAGTAGGGAAATCTATATTCAGTGTTTCCCCCAAGGCATCCAAGCCTTCCCACTGCCTTTCAACAGACCAGGAATCCCCCAACACACACACACACACACACACTGCATACAAATGCATTCACCCTCTTTTGGAAGTGACCCATACTAAAACTTCATGGACTTCTCCAATATCCCACCCCTCAGATGAAAGGACGTGTCCTAGATAGGCAGTGGAATGAGGTGGTTAAGGATACAGATTTTGGAAACTCATAATACTGGGTGACTTTGGGAATGTTATTTAATTTTTCTGAGTCTTGTTTTCCCGTATGTAATGCGGGGGACTGGAAACAGACCTTTGATAGTAATATAGTTAGTATGAACTAAACTAGGTAAAGTATGTAAAGTGTTTAGTATAGTACCTCATACACCTTAATCATTTAATGCATAGATGTTATTATTATTATAGATCATTTTATTGCTTGTTGCTAACTTAATGTTTTGCTTATATATTTTCTTGCTGCTATTGTTTTTGTTGTTGATCCCCTGATGATATGTTAGGGTACTGATATCATTGTGCCTCAGTGATGCACACTGTAATAATTATGTGCCAGGGCCCAGTCCACCAGGGTGTGAAGAGAATGCACTTGGTCCTACTACTGAGTCACTTACCTTTTGGCAACAGCCTTGTCTCCTGGGGACCAAGGTAACCTGGGAATAGGCAGGTTGCCTCCAAATCTATAGTCATTTCTCATTGCCATATTCACAGCAATTTTCTTCCTTCCTCCTTCCTTCTTTCTCCCTTCCTTCCTTCATCCCTTCCTTCCTCTTTCCTTCTCTTCCTTCCTCCCTCCCTCTCTCCTTCTTTCCTTTCTTCTTCCTTTCTTTCCTTTATTTGTTTCACTTATTTTAAAGCTGTTTGTGGGTATGGGAGACTTATTGTCTTTTACTCATATAAATCAGGATAAAAGATATAAATATCATTTATTCTGTAAATTATGCATGTGAGGAAAACCATGGGGAAACATAAATAGGAGGCAGTAAGAGGAAGCTGCATTCTATAAAGCAGAAAGCATGGTCACATATTAAGTTCATTACTTCTTACCCAGATTGCCTGTGGACAGTGACATTTTTCTCTTTTCTCTCCATGCTGATTGCTCCATAGTCATTGTCTCTGGTTTTCCAGAATGAAGAGTCCAAAGGTATCCAGAAATAACATTTATTAATCAACAATAAAACACACAATAGAAAAGGCCTTATAAGTAAAACTATATATTTATAATGCTTTATTGTTTTTGCTTCAGTACTCCACAAAACACTACAGACAGTAACAAAATAATTCAATAAATATTAAAAACTTTCAGGAGAATTATAGGACATTCCTTATCATCTGTGAACATCAACAATGCCACAGCTGTTAGATATACTATTAAACAACTATCATAGATATCTTTCTTGAATAAGAACATAATAATTTTTTAATCCAGGAGTCATAACATTTACACATATCCATACACAAGAGAACAGCTCAGAGTAAATGAAGCAGAGTCCCCAGGGATCTGAAGTCATCTGCCTATACATCATTTAAAGATATTACAGTGTTAACAGGATAGAAGTCAACACACGAAAGAGAAATGTGGAGGTTCACTTTGGGTAGGAGGAGTGAAGATAGGGCAATTTATGAAAGCTGCTTACATATTTTCCATGGCTCTCTTAGCCACATGCTCCCTTCCCTTTTCAGCCTTTTCTTGGTTGAGGTACTCCAGAACTTTCATTAGCAGGTCTTCATCCAAGTACTGTCTGTTTGGGGAGTCATCATTCTTCCGAGGCCCCACTGGGAACCTTTTGCTTACTGGTGCCAATTTATCATTCTCCTGAGAGTTGCCCTGACTCAGATGCTCTTTGATGGCTTGCTCGAGTTGGTCTTCTTCCTGTACATCATCATCTTCAGATGAGCCTGCACTGGGCCCTCGCTTTACCTGGTTTGAATTAATGAGCTCAGGGTATTTAACTAGAATCCTGGCCAAGTACTCTCCTAATTCTTGATCCTTGTCATTCAGGTTCTCAGAAGGCACCTGTCTGTTTTCAACTTCTGGCATCCAGGCAGCTTTGGGAAGCTGATTGACTCTAGACTTTCCAGGACCATAAGGGAGCCTCAGAAGAACCTTCTCTTGGTTGTATTGATTGGGAAAATATGGTGGTTTCTGATTTGTTGCACTCTCCATCCCTAAGAGATTTAAAATGTCCTCCACACTGAGCCCATCTGGTAAGGCCTCTGCCACAGCACGACTAGGTGTTTTAGGATAGCCAGTCTTGGAGAGCATCTTATTTTGGAACAGGTCTGAATGGTCTAAGTCAGCTTCCGAGATATCATCTAGGTCAACAGGAAGATCAATCTGCTCTGGCTCCACTGATCCACTTGGCTTCTCCCCCGTTTTGAGCATCTCAATTAAGTCTTCAGGGGGTATCTGTAAATTCCTTGAGATTTCAATCAGCTGGTAAATAGACTGGGAATCAAGTGGCTTTTCAAGAAGCCTAGCTGCCCTTTCCCCATTTGGTCCATTCTGTGACCTCCCGTTCCCAGCAGCATTCACTAACCTTTTTAAATAGACAATCACTTTGGAGACGTCATTGGAGAGTTGATCTTTATTCTCTTTCCGAAGATCTTCGTCCTGGAGCCCCAGCTGCCCTGAACGCTTCATTTCTTCATTGATTTGTTCATTTTTTTCTGTATTCTCTTTGCTGTCTCTCACCTCCTCCTGGGTTTGACTCTCTATTTTCTCTTCTATGGGGTTCCAATCTTCTCCTCCCACCACATCTTCATAGGCAATGTTGCTGGCCTTATAGATGTCATCTTCATCATCTGTGTAGAGTTTCTGCTCCTCATCAACCCGCTCACGTTTCTGGTTGGTTGGCCCTGTCAGTTTCCCCAGCTCTTGAAAGACAGATTCCAGTGTAGCGAGACTTTGGGGTGTATATTGTTCCTCTACTATTTCATTTGTACGTTTAAAGGGGTTGTCCCTGGAACTCTCTTCATACATCAGAGGGAACCGCATGTGCTTGAGCTTCCTCTCTGGCCACTGTTGTGTCTCATAATCACCAGTCATGTCAACTGGGAAGTTCTTTTCTGAATTCAAGGCATAGGGCTTGTTTTCTTTTGGTGCAGACTGAGGCTCATTTTCAGCCTGTCTCAAAGCTTCAAGTATTATCCTCATCCATTCATCTTCACTCAGCGAATCTCTTGAACTCTCTGGCAAGTGACTTTCCTCACCATTTTCTTTTTGCTGAAGAGGAATAGAGACGCCTTGGTAGGGGTTATAGTCTGGGCTGCTTTCTTCTTTGTGAGCTTGCTGCCGGAGCTTTTCTATGTACTCCAAAGCCCTGATCATTTCGGGACTAGGAAACTTTTGAACATTTGCCAATCTGAGGTCTGGTTCTTTCTGGAGCAGCTGGTTACGTTGAAATGAAGCTGCTTCAGATCCGGAGATGAGGAAAATTAAATGGATAAGAAAGATAGCTGCTCCCAGCTGGTGGGTCTTAATTTCTGCCATGTCTTAAGGATTTCCTCAAAGCATAGAAAACATGAGTTAATACAAATGAAACAAGCTAGAAGAAACTCTAGCAAAAGAAACAAACTATTGAGGAAAAAAAAGGAGCTGAGATAATTTCATATTACACTTGGGATAACTCTTTAAAATCCATGAATATTTCCTACATGAGCCCCACAAGCTAATCATAGGAATTTTAGCAAAATTCTTACTCATTTGCATCAAACTTCCATAACATTCTCTTGGCTAAAATAACAACAAAATCACTGACGAAGGATTTCCCAAATATTATTTTTCATTTATAAAACTTGTAATTTGACTTTAAGCAAATGTTTCTTTTTCATAAAAGACTTTCCAAGTTATTAAAGTTACCTTATGCAATAGTCTACTAAAATCATTGGCAAAATAATTTTTTTGTAAAACTGGTATTTACATACACCTATAGGTGCCAAAGAACTTGTAGCTTATTTTCTGAGTTATTCATCCAATTTCAATGTAGAAACACAGAAGCAACATTACTCTGTATAATGATGAATACAACATATTAACGTCAATCATACTATTTTCTGCATAAATCTTAGTCATATATATTTTTCAGAAATCATTTGTTCTCATTCTGTCATTAAATCCAATTATCGGTGAATAATCTCCAGAATGTGGGTCTCCTCAGGTTTCAGCTAGCGAGCTGAAGTTCCTTTCTGTGTAAGCAAGCTAAAAATGATAATAAAACTGCTCTAAAATTTCTGTGCTCCATATTTCTATAATAATTTTATCATGACTCACTTGCAAAATAGAATAATGGTTATATTTTCATCATCCCTTAAGAATGTATAGTAAATAAACAGATGCTACAGAGAGAACATAAGTTTACTTAGCTAGTCTATTTCTAAACTTGTGAGGGTTTGAATTCAATTTGTCTTATGTGTGTGTCTATTTTTGTATGGACCTGTGAAATCTTAAATGACTCATACTGTTAGAAAAGCTTAAAATAACCACTATGTAACTCCCAATTTAGATAAACACAGACAATGTGTTGAGTTCTTCCTACTTAAAAATCTTCATTCATTTTTTTCTCCAATGCTTAAAAAAACCTCATATGAATTAGCAAGAGGAATTGTTTTTACATGTTTTATATTTGTCATTGCTAACATTTAAAAACTGCATGAGTATTCTCATAACTTTCATTGTAAATAAAATACATGTAAACAAGTTTATAAGCTTCTTCATGTCTTCACTTTATCAGGGTTTTTTTGATAGATAAGCTGTTATGTGAGTACAATGTTCTGTTGACGTCAGTTGTAGAAAATATCGTTATCTAGATCCAATTGGTAATTACTGTTATCAGTTTTTAGAGCTTAAGAATGGTTATAATTATAGAAATTTCTTTAGCATAGATATATACTTTATTAAAATAATTCCAATTAACTAGACCCTCAAGGTTGTTCAGAGAATATTTCCAAAATATTTACCATAAATAAAAGTTTACTGTAAATAATTCTATCTGTAAAATGCTTATGTTTAAATGAAAGTACATTGTGCATTTCTCTTTATATTATTTCATGATAATTTAGCCCTAGTAATAAGTTTTCAACATTAGCATTTGAAATAGTAATCTCTAAAAGCTTAGTGAACTTCCTTTCTTTGAAATCATTATCTTGAAGTACTCTTAACACATGGGTTTTATGCTTGTCATTACCTTGGAGGTAGGTTTTGCTGTACAGTTGGAGCCGAATGTTCATTGCAGCTGTTCAAACCACAGCCTAACAAATGCTACCCTTTGGTCATTATTTCGGATTCAGTTTGAACAGCATAGTTATTTCCTTTAAGACTCAATCAATATGTTTCCCCAGCAGCTCTTTTAAGTAGCAAAAATGGTTTCAACAGCTCTAATATATTATATAGGTTTTGATTTAAAGCTTAATTTTCTGAAATCCAAATAATAGGAACATCGTTTCTCCCTTGATGGCTATTATAAAAATCTCTTAAGTTAACATGTCTTTTCTACTGACACCAGACAGGAACTTGATGCTGAAGCATCAACACATGGGGATGTAGCTCATTGGAACAACTTAACTAGTTGGAATCCAAAAGAAAACTTGTCCTAATCAAAGTCTTTAGCAAAATAGTACACAATCTCTTCCAGGTAAAGCATAATAATTATAGCAATAATTTACATAGCTGTGAACATTTTCATTATATTTTTTAAATTATTATATCTCTATAAGTCATGCTCACACCCAACATAACCCCCAAGATAACATTTCACCCTGAAAAAGGAAAGAAATCCATGTTTAGGATCATTTTAAGTTACTGTCCTAGGACTAAAATTAGGACTTGATAACAGAGACCCTTTCAGAGTATCCCAAGCTTAGAAAATAATTTTATAGAGTTGGTTAGTTTAGAGCTCTTATAAGGTAAATATCAAAGAAAAAATCCTAGTTCCTGAATCAGTTGCCTCTATGACTCATGTGATTAATAGCCTTTGAATCATTGGAAACCTACTGTTAAGAATATTAAGCACATAAATTTTATCCCCTGGTTTTCTATCTGCTCTTGGGGGAAGAAACAATACATTCAGGAAAGAAACAAAATATCAAGCTTGATTAACTTCACATTAATATGTGTATTGACACTAAAATCCTTAACTTTTTCACTCTTCTTACAAATATTTATCTAAATAACGTTCTGCTTAAAATGTCCAACAACAAGTAGCATAATTCACAGACTCGATACACTCACATACAGTATCCTTACATTGGCTGAAGAGCAGCAGGTTGCTATTCAGTTATTGTATCAATATAAGCTTGCCAAAGGGTCTTTTTCTTAGCTAGGAACTGAAGGAAGAACACGCAATTCAGAACTTTACAGTAAATCCAAGAGAAAAGCAGTCTTACCTCTCTTTGATATGGCAGAGAAGGTCTACAGCATGTCCTCCGTCTCCTGGTGAGCTGCTCAGGCCGTTTCAGCACCCGGACAGCTCCCGGCTTATAGGGAGCCGAGGCGCCTGACTCTGCACTGCCACACTGACGTCACCGCCTCAGCCACAAACCCCAGCCCAAGCGAGCTTTTTCAAAGAATCCGAGAGAAAATAATCACTTCATATGTTTTTTTTAAAGTGTTGCATGCTTACGCCACCTGTCTTTTTGTGGCAAAAATTACAGTTTTCTGTTTTTCTCTTAACCAAAATCTTTGAGGCTTGAAATAAAATACTCTGCACATATTTCCCATAGAAAGAAAGAAATCTGTCAGATAGACATGACAAATTACAAGACAATTCCATCTGTGTTCTAATACCTTGTTAAAAGGGTTTCTTGCTGCTGTCATTGTTATTGTTGCCATCGTCATTTTTAAAAAAAAGTTTTTCAGATAAGGATTTTTTTCTTCATTGACTTCAATGCAAAAAATTGCATTATTGTTTTCTGGTATACAGAAGATGAATGGAAGGCACATTATAAATATGAAATGCTATATTTCATGTCATAAGCACAGGCATCATTCTTCTAAAAACCATGTTTTTTTGAGTAAAAAGGGGGAGCTGCCTATTTTTATATGACAACTTTAATAGCTTCAATATGGTTTTGAAATGGATATTCATAAAATTTCAAGTTTAGTTGATACTTCTATATGGATATGTTGGTATCTTTTACAAAATATAATCTCAGAAAGAAAAGCTAAGAAATTGAGTGCTGGTGAAAATACTTTGGACTATTAAGAGAAAACAAAAAAAGTCCTTTCACTGTTTGAGAAAAACGTGATACATAAGTAATTGGAATCTCACATTCAAGGGGACACGGTACCATAAATATTTTCCTCCTTCTGTTGAATCAAGTGAGTTGAATGCCTTCTATGAATGGGACCAATCCAGGAAATAAATAGTAGTTAACTCCCAAATTCTTAGATTTATAATTCATAACCATTGCTATCCTTTGCTATGTAACCTGATTATGTGTTTTAATAATTTATGTAGGCCTAAATTTTTAACTATATTTTATTGAAGATATGAGTTCTCCAAAAACCTGTGTATGTTGAAATATACTTTGAGAATACGAAAGAATCTTGCTATTTAAGATATCCTTTGTATCTCTGCTAAGTGAATAATCAGCTATTAATTTTTCTGTGCAATCCTGCTATCTTTTAGTACATACAAGATGCCAGATACATCACAAACTGCTGGCGATAGAAAAATGAATGACTTTTTTTTTTACTTTTAAGAAGACTTTAGTCTTCTTTAATGGGAATTTAAAAAAAACAGGTGATTTTGATATAAATCGTAGAACACTAAGGAAAAGGTTAGCCAGTTGGATCAACCTAGAAATTGAGAGGTGGGGGGAGCCTGCAGGTAAGGGACCTAAACTTAGATTTCTTATTATCAGATTTTTAAAATATGATTTCTAACTATGCTAGATAAATCAAAATACTCTTGAATTCTCAAGGAAATAAGGAATAGTTTAAAATCTTATGAAAATAAAATCTTGGTGAAAGTGGTCTTCAATTCTATTTGCTTTCCTGGTGATGATACTTGATTTTCCTCAATAATAAGGAGACCATCAGCTACAGATTGGTGTGGAATTCATGTGAACACAGACTGGAGTTATATGGCATTTCACCCAATGGATTTATTTCTCATAATGGGTTTTTAGAGCATGGTCAAATGCTGGGTTGAAGAGACTTGAATAAATATGTCCTGTTTATTAAGTTACCATTTTAGTGATGCCATTCACTGATAGCTTTACACAGGTAAGATTTTTTAAAAGTCTTAACAAAGGCCTAGCTAGCTACTCTGAGTGTGACCTAATTTTCCATCCAATAGTTCTGTGTGCCTAGTTGAGCATAGCCTCAGAAAAATCCACATGGTTATTCTTAAAAGATTGAGTTGTTCAGCACAGGTCTCACAAGTCTTTAGGAAGTCAGCCGTGACTAGGCTAGTTCACTTAGGTAGAAGAGACGTTTTTGGCAAGGGCTAAAAGCTTTTACAGTTTTTCTAAGATCCTAAAGTCCACCTCTTGTCTAGAAATATCTTTAATAATCCAAAGATGTGCAGAAAATCATGCAAGAGATAGAGAAGTTAGATGTCAGGAGGCAGCCACCAGGACAGGCTAGCTCCAAAAGGACCCAAGATGTGGGTAGAACAATGAGCCACATGTGCCTACCTTTTGATACTATGACAAATTCCTATCATTTATTGAGATCTACTATATCCTGACCACTCTATTCAGAACCTAATTTAATCCTCTTAACAACAGTACCAGCTATTTTTAACTCAATTTTACAAATGAAGAGACTATAGTTCATAAGTTAGCCATTATTTTCAGGCTCATAATTGGCAGAAGGAGGATTTGACCAGGACTTTCTTATCTATTAGTGTTGCCACAATAACAACTATGATTCAGGTACTCTGTAACGTGATTTAAATGCAGAGATGAGTATGGTACAGATCCAATCATTAAAGATTCAAGTCTAAAATGTAGTTACTTTGATAAAAAATCCTCTGGGTTTGTCCCAGTTGCTTTTCCTGCTCACTGCCCATATGGTATGCCTGGACTGCTATCTGGGACAACACAAATGGAAAACAAGAATTAACATTAGATCACTTTCTTGATGCTACAGGGCATACTATAATGTCTTCCAAAGAGTACTTACTGAATTTGGAAAGGTCTACACCAGCCTGGTTTTAGAAATATATTTAATATATCTCTAAAAGTCATTACATTTTTGTCAGTGGTTATTGTTTTTAAAGGGAACTATTCCCTAATAAAAATCTATTGGGGAACAGAGTTAAAATGCAATACACATATAAAAAATTAATGTTTTTATTGATGTGAAATATTTTAAAACATGTACAAAGCCTTAAAAATAATCTATACATCTTTTAATCACTGAGCCTGAGATAAGATAATTTTAAACATTCCCTACAAAATGTTAATTTTCCATTAGGCCTAAACTTCCAACTATCATTGCCTCCAAAAAACAAATCTCTCTATCATGAACATTTTCAGAATAATTATGTAGTGTGTATGATAATGGGTTTTACTAAATTAGCTTTCATCCTCACCCTGGTGCTGTTAAGTTCAAGCTAATCACTCACAATTTAACTCTAAGTAATTAGAATGGACTAATTTCTTTTTGTGATCAGATTTCCTTAAATCTTGGTCATTTTATTCTTTGTTATTCAATTTCATATTCCATCTAAACATAGATTTTGATCTTTCTGCCATTTTTTACAAGCAATCCTCTAGTTTAGTAATCTTTTAATTTGAAGTTTATCTCCATTTCACTCCATTCCACTTCTCATTTTATTTCAAATTATATGAAGATCCAGAAGGCCAACATGTCTTAGTACTTCTCTTTCTCACATCTCCTTCTTCACTGGTCTAGCTTCCTTCCTCAGAATCTGTCCCTTGGACAACAAGCCTGCCAGGAAGAAGTCCCATCTGCCACACCCATGCACTGAGGTCCCCCAACATTTCCCTGAATATTGCCCACAAGAAAGGGGTGCCATGCCTTCTGCTGGCCTCTTATGCCCTCAGCCACTCTACATTGTTCATTTCTCACCTCTCTGCCTCCTTTCCCTTTTTCTTTTCCTTCTTTGTATTCCTTATATAGTCCTTACTCCCTTATGCTTTGCTTCCAAAATTTACCTAAACTTTTTTTAGTTACAATACACTTTTTTTAACAAGTGTGCTTGTTTTAAGATGGAATATTTTAGAAATTAATTTTAAAGGAACAATGAAATATTTCTCCATCTCCCTTACAAAAGCAGGGACGGTTAATTTCTGTTAGGAGAACATAAAAATCAGAACACTTTATTTAATAGTATCACTACAGTTTCTCAGACGAAATCCAGTAGGTCTTAGGAGGTAGAAGCTCTCTGTTTTTGTCAGTATATCCTCATGCCTAGCACAGTGCTTTGGATAAAAAAGGCAAGACAAAAATACAGTGTGTTGAGTGGAGTTGAGTTAAAGTTTTCACATTCTTCTTGCTAAAGATTCACACATTCCTCTTGAAAGTTTTTAATCCTCTCAAAGTGTTCTTATGCAAATGAACTGGTTTTATTCATCTGAGCTGCAGGCATCTCTAGTAAATTAAATGTAGGGTTTTTTAAGGAAAATTTTCTTCTGTTATAGCTATAGGAACACTATATTTTTCTAACCTTTTACTTATTTCGTAAAACATTTTCATAGTATTTGAGTTAGAAGTTGAAAAAAGAGAAAAGCAAATCATTTTATTAATTTCATATTTGTTTATTCTTTGTGATTTTTGTGCTTTACTTGTAAAGATATCACCTTATTGGTAGTCCTAGATGACATTAAAAAAAAAGGCTCACTCTAAATCTTGACCTCTTTTCTTTCTGAAATGGGGGAGTCTGTTGTAAAATTATTCTGCAATTGTCTACTGGGTATTAAAATATGATCTTTCTTACAAACACTGAATGAGAACTGTGAAAACCAAATGAAATCAGGCTTTCCTCTCCATTGACTTTGGATTCTGGAACCATCTGGCGCTTGGAGAAAAAGCAAGTTCCATTCCCATAATCTAATACCATGAGTGTTTGGGCATCTGCTCCGGCAATGGATTTCAGGAGGGAAGCTTGTGCACTAGAAGTTAATTGCTTTGCTTAAAACAACACCGAATGTCTCAATCTTTCAGATTCTCCTGGCATAATTGTTTTGCAAATGAATGTTTTTAGCACTTACATGCAAATATTTTAATAAGGATATTTTCTGCTTCAAAATCACCCACTTACACTCTCTCCCCTCTCCATTTAATCAGAAACCCAGAAGGAAATAAGAGTTTTCAAGGTTAAAGTGTAGCATCCTCAAGGTTAAGCTTAGTATTTTATGTCCAGGGCTCCCATGGACTCACCAGATGACTTTCCACAGTTCACTCAACCTTTGTAGGGCTTTTAATGCTTGCTCCCTCCATGAGATAAATGTAGCACTTCTGGAAGTAGCACATTTATATGGAGTATATGATGGGAACTTAAAAAAGGTCCCAGAACTCAAAACTTTCTCCCTAAACCCAGCCACCACAACATATCACAGGCATTTTTTATTTTAATTTAGAATTTTTGGTACTGGATCTTCAGGAAATCCATAGTAAA